TACAATTGTAACAAAACTTGTAGCTTGCTCCCAGGCAACCGTACAGTTTTTTCAAGTCCTCATAAGTGACCAAGCAACCGTACAGTGAGGGAACATCAACAGTTGCTAATTTATTGTCAATATATTCGCAACCAAGACGTTTACAAATAACATTGTTTAATTTTTTGGTGCTTAGAGCATAATTTTCGATAGCATCAAAAAGATTTGTTCAAATATTAGGTTTAAAGCTTTGAAATCGTCGTTTGATGCAAACAATTTTGATTCTTTTTCGGGAAATCTGAGTGAGAAACCGCATTTTGTCTGAAAATATATGTTTAAACATTAGAATATTGATTATGAATAATTTAGTTTATGTCAGTACCACACATATAAGTAAAAACACAATGATTTATTTATTTTGACAAGTTTTACATGTTTTTCAGCCTTGTCCTGCGTTTTACGATGTATATTTCGCTCGCAAGTGGAAGTCACTGTGGACGATGGAGTGTACGCTGTGGCATAGAGCGAGGTGTATCCTGCAGGGTTACAGCATAGACCGAGCGACTTTGATCCGATTTTGTTACAGTATATACCCAAATTTCGGTTACAGTTGAGATACTTGCCGTATCCATTATTTTTATGAAATAACCCATACCTTTCTAGTTAATATATTCTTGAAGGGTTGTAATATTGTCATATTTTCTTCAGCAGAAAAGTTACAGCTATTTTCCTTACTTTAAGAAGTTATATTCAGATTGAGATTTTTTGCATAATAAGAAATGTCCCATTCAAAGCAACAACAGTAACTGTTATAAAATTGTATGGAGAGAAGAAAGATTATTGCTCGATTCCATTTCACTTTATAATGCAATTGAGTAATAAAATAGAGAAACGGCAATAATGAAAATGTTACTGTTGAGCCTTTTCATGGATGGTAGTGGTAACTGAAAGCTACCGCCCACGCCTCCTAGCACCAGCTTAAGCAGAATTCAACATTTAACATGAAATGGTAAACTTTAGAATTTTTTAACATCTGTAGATGTGTTCATATGGCGATTATCATGGAATCTTCATTGTGACGTTAGTGCCATTCCATAAAAAGGGTGTGCCCTAAACGAGAATACAATGGGTGCAACTAAATAAAATGGAATTTTGAAAGGGGGTCGGAGGTTATGAAGCCTGAATACCACAGATAAGCTGTCAAAGATACAATGAAAAAGCCGGCAACATACCCTAAGGGGGTTAAACAGTATTCATATGAGAAATACTGCAACCTTAAAACTTATTTTAAGTTGGAATTTCCATCTACAATAATGTATTTTTTAAGTATTTAAAAGGGATTTGTTACTTTTGGTTTTCTTGGATTTTAATTCTAACCGACTTTTAGGTCATGTGAAAATATCACTGCTTTTCTGTAACGAAAGACCCCAGATAATCCTTAGATAAACATTCCAGACACGAGCGGGCACGTAACTAGAACCACCAATCTTCCGTAAACTAGCTTGATAGATTCCTCACATACAAAGAATCCAACGTCAAGAGACGGGATTTCAATCACAGCAGTACAGGAAAGATGATTTGAAGTAGGCGACCTTATCACGACTCGGCCACTATTATGTACCTCCATCAGACTCTATGGAAAAGATATTGTAATTGTCTGACCTTGATTGGTACTCTATATCTTTCAATATTATTTTCCTTTTCAGAACCATGAAAACTTCCGTAGATCTACAGGATGTCTGAAATAATAAAAAAACGTGTTTTAATTTTATAATGACAAAATAATCATTACTTCATCAAAGAAGCATTCGAAATGACGCCAGGGTCACGATTTGATCTTTCTTTGCAAATTGCTTTCTAAAGAATGCTACACAGCGAATGCTTTTTGGTTCGATAGAAGAAGGAGTTTTAAACATTGCTCTTTTTAAATCTATATTTTTGGTTTTCGTATCCCAGATTGCAACCGAAAGCATTTGAACAATTTTGGCAGAAATTCATGTACATTTCATCAAATTTGGTCAAGTAGTTACTGAGCGGATGTCATTGGACACACATGTGTACAACAGACGGACGAATAGCCATCGGGTCGTTAAGCTCACCAGTTGAGTTTAGATTACAAGTCTATATATCTATCATTCATACATTTTACCTAGTATATGTAGAAAATATTGAGGTCTAAACTGTAACCGAAATCTGGGTATAAACTGTTACCAAATCAGAAAAGTAGAGATTTTGATGCTAAAGCATCAAGTCACCGGATAGAAATATGATTGTTATCATAAAAATCATAAGAAAATAGCAGTTTAATGGTTCAAGTGTAAAGAAACGAGGAACAATATGTTGAGTAATGTTTGCCATCGAGGCTTGTAGGGCAAGTGATATGCTGGTAAATCTACGTGTAATTCTACTTTATATACCATACATTGAAATCCGTACGGGTTACTTGTTCAGAATTCGATAATTACCGACAAATAATTACCGATCATCGAATATTTACAAAGTGACTATGAAAATATAAATGTTTTTATTATTGCATGAAAAAATGCAAATCTACTGTAAAAGTGTTGTCCATCGAAAAAATATATAGATCTAATTTAGTTGAAATTCCCATCGTTACATACGATATTATAATTAACGTTTAATTGCATTTCAGTGCGATAAACTATCAACACAAAGATAGTTTATTATATTTTTTCTATGTATCTAATACGATTCCGGACCCCTACCGGAAACCTGCGCGACGGAACCGACATAATATAACGAAATCAACGATTACCATTTTATGTTTCAATAATGTGCCTCGTAAGCATAAAATTATTTTGTGATGTTCAACCTAAACTAAAATTTTGAACGTTCTTGTCAAAAGTTTGACAGAAAAGGCCAAGTTTAACCCTTTACCAAGAAAAAAGGAAAAAGTTTTGAAAATCTATTTTTAATGTGTAAAATATGAGTATACATGTTTTTCTAATGATATAAAATATGAAACCGATTAATGAAAAATAACTTTGTAATTAATTATACAAAATTACAATGATTTGCATCCGCCATACATTACAAGTTACAAAATGTACCTGCAATCTGTTACTATTAATAGATTTTATAACGATAACATACAACGTGTAGTCACGTGATTCTTACAAACGAACAGGGAGCATTTGTTTATAATTAGATAAAATAATGAAATATAATAGGTCTCATAAAAAATAAACAACCAAATAATTTAAAAGTGCCATTTCAAGTATCATTCATGATTTATATATCATAAAATAGCAACGCTTGACACATAGAAAAAAGTAAAAGTATCCCTAATATTCAATGACTGATCCTCAGGGATACGTTATTGATTCATTTTATGAAAATTGTTATGTTGCTTTTTAAGATGTCAATATGTGTATATTTCATTTTATTGAGCAAAGTTATCATATGTTTGAATTTTTGAGATTACTGAAAATAATTGTGGTCTTTAATTGTTCAATAATTGATATGCTTTTATTTTCAGATTTTAAGGGCTTCTCCTACCATAGGTATAATATTAAACTGTTACAAATATAGTCGCCGGTTTCTACCGGCGACTAATAACAATCGCCAGGTCTATACTGTAACCCTGCACAATTCACCTTGTTCTATATTGTAACATTGTTTATTTTTTAAAAAAATTAACGCATTTGACGAACAGAAAAACAGGTTCAACTGGTCATTTACTTTTATAAACGTTTCTAAACACAAAGGACTAACGTTTCGTAGGTTTATTTTTTTTTGTAGGCATTCTTAAATAATGTCGGAATTGAAGAATAATGCGTTGGTCTCTCGATTCGATTTTTTTTCAATCTGTCAAATCAGCATATTTATGAGACAAAATAGAGAAAAATCTGCGGTGCAGGGTCTGAAGAAATATAAGACTAGATACCGGATCCAGTTCCTTACAAGCAAAGCACAAAAACATATTTTTGAAACTAAACAACTTGTAGTATAGACCGAAATAAAAATCATCTACCTGTCTTCCCCTACCTTGAAAACTATATACTGTAACCAGAAGGCGCGATACTGTAACACGTTCCCTACGGTGAATGAGATTGCAGAAAGTTATTATAGATAATAGCCGGGCAGTTCCGAATGTGCAGCTATATTTAGATCGGTATGACTAGATATCGGAAAGGGCTCCTTTCTGCGAAAAGGACTTGACATGATCGGAAAGGGCCGATTATATGCTTATTAATGGCATTTGTTCAAAAAAGATTTCACTATATATAATGACAATTAATTTAAAACAAACACCTGTGGAATTTAACTGATATTATTCCCCCATACTTTTTGAGATTTTAAAAGATAATCTATCAGTCATCGAAACGCACTGCTCGGAAAGGAGTTGGCATGATCGGAAAGGAACTATTGCTTTCATATCAATGGAGATATTTGAAACAATTCAACAAATGTTATGAACGTTATTTGCAATTACTTATATGTACTCATATAAATATATAGTTATGCTTCATATTTGGAAAGATATTAAGACATAATCTGTTCCATATTCCATATTCCATTCCCCTGTCTGATCGGAAAGGACTTTATTATGTATAAATTATGTTCTTATTTAGGGTTTCTATAAAGTATATTAAACGTATAAAGAAATGACTAGATTTGATCAAATGAATAAATTTTTTAAATGTGAGCATAACATTTATTGATCATCTACACATTTGTGTCGTTATAGATGTAATACGGATGGTTTGGTGCAATTTAAATACATGTATATTACCATTTGAGCCCCTGAGGGTTAAGTAGATTTGGGATTGTTAAATTAATTCCCGTATTACGTATATTTGGATTTAAAATTATTCCCCTAGTACATATATTTGGATTTGAAATCATTGCAATTAATATACATGTATGAAATAGTAACATTTATAACTTGGAATACAGTTGATTTTTGCTTCAAGATTTAGACATCATCAGTGTATTTATATTTAATCTATTTTTTCACTTGCCTTACAGATAAAATGTGTATTATTGTACTCTTCATTATGGGAATGAATCTTCTAATCAACGCTGCTCTAAGAGAGACTCGTGGACCAAAGACAGATTCAGGGATTTACTTGCCATCCAGTCGAGGTTTTATGGATGACCTCACTCTCACCACAACCACCCATGTACAGGCGAGATGGATGTTAACAGCCCTGACAGATGTCGCTTCATGGGCTAGAATGAAATTCAAGGCCGCAAAGTCCAGATCTCTCATTATCAAGAATGGCAAAACCACAGATAGGTTCATTCTCAGAGTACAGAATGAGGATATCCCATCTATCACTAAGAGTCCAATCAAGTGCCTAGGGAAGTGGTTTGATGCAAGCCTGCAAGATGGTGACAATGTCAAGAAGCTAGAAACCCAGGTGGAAGACGGGCTTAAGAAAATTGACAAAAGCAATCTCCCTGGGAAGTTCAAAGCCTGGTTATACCAGCATGCCTTACTTCCAAGGCTAATCTGGCCTATGATGCTGTACGAGATACCAAGCTCAAAAATTGAAGCCTTAGAGAGGATTACAAGCAGACACCTCCGCAAGTGGTTAGGAATACCACCCAGTTTCTCCGGTGTAGGACTGTATGGAAAGAGCAATCAGCTTCAACTCCCATTTTCTTCACTGGTCGAGGAATTCAAGACAGCGAAGACAAGATTGGTGCTCACCCTCAGAGATTCCCCAGATGAGCAAATCCGGGAAGCAGGGATTGTAACCCGTACGGGCAGGAAGTGGTCAGCATCAGAGACCGTTAACCAGGCTGAAAGCTCACTTAAGCTCAAGGACATTGTGGGAATAACAGCTGTGGGACGACAGGGAATTGGTGCTACCAAGACACCCCTGTGGAACCAGGCAGACCAGAAGGAGAGACGTGCCATGATTCAGTCAGAAGTCAGGGGGGCAGAGGAGAGTGCAAGACAGGCTAGAGCAGTAGAGATGGGAGCACAGGGAGCATGGACTTCATGGAACACCATAGACAGGAAGCTGACTTGGGAAGACATATGGAAGTATGAACCATTACGGTTATCCTTTCCTATCAGGTCAGTCCATGACCTCTTACCCTCCCCAGCTAATCTCCACCGGTGGGGACTTAAAACGGATCCAGCATGTGACCTGTGCGATCGTCCTGGTACTCTGGAGCATGTTCTTTCTTCCTGTTCCACTGCACTAACACAAGGAAGGTACCGATGGCGTCATGACAACGTCCTTAGGGAGGTGGCTGACTGGCTTGAAGGTGAAAGGAAAAAGGAACGAAGGAGTAACCCCAAGCTTTGTCAGATTAACTTTGTTAAACAGGGTGAAACTGCCAAGACACAGTTGCCACACCAACCATAAATTCTAGATGGCGCAACAGGTTGGAACATGGAGGTGGATCTTGGCAAGAAGCTTGTTTTCCCAAGTATTGTCCAGACCAACTTAAGACCAGATATCATACTGTGGTCTGAAAAAGGAAAGAAACTCATCATGATCGAGTTAACAGTACCTTGGGAGACAAGATGTGAAGAGGCCTACGAGAGGAAAAAACAAAGTATACGGAGCTACTCAACCAATGTAGACAGAGAGGCTGGCATACATGGCTGTTTCCTATTGAAGTAGGTGTGCGAGGGTTCTGTTCGCAATCTGTGTGCCGACTGATGACAGCGATAGGAACTACTGGAAGGGATAGACGTAGGACAATCCAGAGACTGAGCCAAGCTGCCGAGCGTGCGTCTAACTGGCTGTGGCTGAGACGAAAGGAGAAGAGCTGGAAGCAATCGACCTCCACACCGTAAGACGGTGGGCCCACTCGCCAGCAGATATACATGGATAAGGGCCGAAATATCAATGACGGCGAGCACCATGCTGATGATGGAGGTCGATCAGCAATCTAGAAGCACCACAGACAGGAGATCTACAGAAGATCTACATTAGGTGCGTTCCAGATTGTATCTTACTCATCTAACAACTGGACATACAGTGACTTCTAGGAAAGACTAGATGACAACCGAGAACAGATTGGTGACACTGGAAAGACAGATGACCACCAGGAATAGACTGGAACAGGGGCACTAGGGTTAGCAACCCAAACTGCAGTCTTCGTGAGAGGACACCCACAAGCAAGCTACAGACTCCAACAATGAAAGACACCCCCAGAGTCTACCGAGAGGGGGGAGGATGATAGACTCACTTGGACGGATTTTATGGAATCGACGCGGCCCGCACAATCGACTATGAAAACAGCAACAACAGTTACATGCAAATGCGGAAAAGTCTGCAAGAACCAACGAGGTCTACGAATCCACCAAGGCAAGACTGGTTGTCAAATTTATTCAGATATGTATTTGTTTTAATTAATTGTAATTATATTAATATATTGAAATGTTTTGAAAAATGCCATTAATGAGAATAAAATCGACCCTTTCGGGTCATGTCAAGTCCTTTCCGCGGAAAGAGGCCCTTTCCGGTGTCTAGTCATACCCATATTTAGATCGTATAAATAGATCTGTAACAGCGCAGAAACAGCGCTATAAATATTTTGAGGAATAGTCGAGTCACGTTTACAGCGCAAGCTGCATTTTTGTGCCCTCGCGGGCGGATGGACCCTCATTAAGCTTAAACTACTGACTGACTGACTGACCGAGTCACGTTTATGTTATTACGTTTATATTTTTGTGTGTGATTTTGGATATGTGTATATATAAAAAAATACCCAAACAAATAGTGCTATTTCAGTATTAAAATGACTTGGAATTAATCATGTTAATAGAAGGTAATTCTTTATGAATATAGAAATATCTTGTGTAAAATTGTCTTTTTAAAAAGGTTTATTTATCATGATACATTAAACAGGTCTAGGATTTCATGATATTTATGGACTGTCCATAAATAAACACACTATCCACAAATTTACAGACATCACATGTCCACAAAAATACGATTGTCCATATATTTACAGATACAGCATATCTGTAAATTTATAGATAAACATGCAATGACCGTGAAAATCATGTGACTATGGTCATATAAAAGAAAACCGCATGGTCTAAACTCATTGACACTATAGTTGAAACGTGGACGGACATTGCTGAAGAAAATTCAACGCTGAGTGATAGTTTGTTTCCAGCGAAGAGCCTGTAAAAGGTTTGGGTAATACCAAATTATACGTTCTGTTAACATAAATTATTGTTAATGTTGTTATTTGTAACAAATTACCAAATTTTATTTTTATAACCTACACTTCCGCGTCCTTGGCAGCCATTTTAACCGGATACTAGACTGGTACACTTTGTTGTAAATCTGTGTTGTTCGGAAGCTTACCGAACGTTGTTACATGAGTTTTTGAATAAAATAGCCCATTTTAAATTTATAAATAATGTATTATCCGATTCATTTTGCATAATTTCTTTTTTAAATATATTGAAATTTATATTTCATATATCAAATGATGTAAACGATATTGTTGTTTACATAGAATAATTATGTGAAAAAAAATAAAGTTATATGTCTTTGATTGACTGCATAAGTCAGTTAAAAATTGCTGTATCTGAATAATTTGTCTTTTTCTTTTAGAACAAATAGAACATGCCACCGCCAAAAGTTTGTGGATGCACCTTCCATGATGAGTCTTGTGCACTTACTGCACAAAATATAAAGAATTGTAAAAAATTCAAAAAGGATATAATAATATTCTTGAGAAATGAACATTTTATTTCAAAACATACCAATTTTTTGTGTAATAAGTGTTATGAAGACGGTGCTTTAAAATGGGAGAGCCATGTAAATTCGGTTGAGGAACCAAAGTTTACGTTTAGACAATTTGTAGACAAAATTAGTAAATCTGAACTGGAATGTGACCAACTTACTTCATTATCTGGTGCTTTAGGGTCGGTCTGTAGAGAGAGACTGAAAAACGTGCCATGTGACATTGAAAGTGGTATCATGCCTGATCTTAATTCTGACAATTACTTCTGTAATAAAGACCCTGTTGTATTATCTTTTCTCAGTCACATTTGTGTGCCTTCTATAAACAGAAAGGACTTAAAGATTTTAAATGTGTATGAACATTTAGTATTTTTAGCCAATTACACATATAGCAGTTTTTAACTTCTGTTTAAACCTTGTTTTTACTACTTATCTGGTAGTAGAGCATTATTAGAAATGCGTTCAAAGTATTCTACAGCTGGTTGTTACTGCTATGTTACAAATTTCTTATATAGTTCTGCTGGTAATAATACTCAGTGTTATGTAGAACCTGAAAATGACTGTTTATATTTTTTGATAATAATCAAATTTTAGCCCGGAATTGGAATGTGAAATACAATGCAAAAGCATTGGTTAGTGTTATAACAACATTAGTGTCTTTAGTCCCTCCGATTGTCTCAGATATTCAACGAAATTCTTCTTAATCTCATTTTAAATGGTTGAACAATGTAACTTTAAAAAAACCAGAGCCGTTTTATGAAGATATGAATAGTCTTTTCAGGCAAAAAAGGAATGTGTTTATTGATAGTATATTTTCAGCCATTATTTGTGATATTTCTGGGGATATCAAAGAACCAGAAATAAAACAAAGACGTGTGTCTTTTGATGAAAATATACCAATATTTTCTTGTGAAAAAAATTATGACAATAGATATGATTCTGTTCCATCTTCATTGAAAGGGTCAACAGAAATAGTTTTACTTGACCCAATTATGGTAAATCCATGTTCTTTTCAATCTTTGAAATTTGTTCTGGATTCTATTTTAGAAAATAGTAAAAAAGAATGGATCATTGTCGGATGTGATGGTTTACCATATAATTTATGTTCGCGTTTAATAGAGCGAACTTATGTTTGTCATGTATGTAAAGAGATTTTTAATACAGAAAATGCTTTCATTTCTCATGGTAATATACATCCATTTGTGAATCTTTACGGATGTAGAAAATATAAAAATGTTTTATTATTGCCTGGTTTGGGTCACATAGAAATCAATGTGACTAAAGCAATTTTTAAATTGTTGTGGGATGTTGGTTTAAAACAATTAGCTTTAATGTTAGGTTGGCGCTCTTTAAAGGCATTATCTGCATGCCAGTCATGCAATGACCACCATAAGTCCTGGCAAATATTACAAATATTTTTATACGGCACTGCTAAAGAACTGTTAAAACCTTATGTCATATGTAGTATGGATAAAAATCAACAACCGTGTGTCGACGGTTTGTTTAACTGGATACAGAATTCACCAGTTGCTGCAAATTATAAATTTATGTTTAAGGCTGTTTTCACATATGTTTTTGGTTTAAACCTCTTTAGGACAGGGGTACGGAGAGGCAATTTCGATGTTTTATATTGTGCTTTGAATAAACTTTCGCCTCTTTTTTATGGTTTAAACATGACCGGATACATGGAATTAAATTACAGATTTGACACAATATTAAAAAATGCACCGGAAAATGTCTTAAATTACATAAAATCAACAATGGCACTCTCACAATCTGGAAATGAAAGTGGCGGCGAAGGAGGTGATTTCATTTTAGAGAATGTAAATCGATCCGTAAAATCATGGATGCCACCAGGAGTCCCCACTGAAGACAGGTGGTTAAGAGTATGTAGAAACCTGGATGGTATGGAAAAGGTAAACATCTTGTTTAACTTAAACAAAAATATTTGTTTTATTTTGTTAATGAATAAGTGAATAATAAATATATGTTTATCACAAGCATTACTTTCATAACAACAAGCATAAATTACTTATTGGCACCAATTAAGTACATGTGCTAGTATTTGTAACATACATTAAGACTTTTTAAACTCACTGTTATTACATAGTAATCTAAATTTAAACATTGCGACTTCTCTTTAAGTGATGTCATGTTTTATAATTATGTCATCTATATATATATTAAATTGAAAAGTGTCATCAAAAGGGTAATGCACTTTGGTATTTATTATTCAGTTGAAAGATAAGATTATCAGAGGTTTAAATGAGGATTCCGAAAGACAATCATATCACAGGTTTGCATATTATTTTTATGTAATAATTACATGTAGATTTATTTGTGTTAACGGTTTGAAATAAATCGTTTAATTTTACATATTATAATTTCAATACTAATGATTACATATAAACAAATTATGATTTATAGTTTATAGTTATTTATATAAAAATTATATTAAATTATATTTAGATAAAATTCTTTGTTGCAGAAAATTACACAACAGTATGGAAATCCACTTCTGGCAGGAAAAATTAAAAGAAAGCAATTTCTTATTAAATTCCAACACTTTAACATCAATGAATGACAACGTTGTTCTGGACAGAGATTTAGAATTTTTTGAAGAAAAATGTAAATCCAACAAATGTAAATACTACGGACAATTTCCAAATATCATTAAAATAGAAAAAGTTTTCATCACAGAGGACGAAAGAAATAAATTTTTTAGAATAGAAAACACATCCAACAGTCAGCTAAGAGACATGATTAATGGATTATTGCAGGTATATTTTTAACATATGTAAATAAATGTTTCATTATTCGTTTATATAATCATAAGTTTTATTAATTTTATTTTAAATTAATAATTTATACAGTATCAAATTAAATATATATATTCATTATTATTACATTATTGCCATTTTTATTGGAACAGATATTTCATTTAAAATGTGTCTTTAGTCAATTTTAGAATGTGGCGCTAATGAGGAATATGAGGTACTTTCCTGCCAGTGGAAAAAAGAAAAGATAGGAACCAAGAAAGTGTTAATCGAATTTTATAAGGAGGTGACCCAGTGTTTAGAAGATGTTTCTGAAAGACAAAGAGACTGTAAGATTTTCAAAATATTTTATTTATGTAAATTACACCGAAATGGTAGAGTCCTAACGAATTTCACAGTAATTTTGGGGGATTTACCAAGCAGGCAAGTGGCATGAAGCCAGTATTTACATTCTGGTTCATCACACCCCAACCACAGATCTTTAACACCCTTGGAATCGTCAGCAAATAAGCCGCCACACAAGCGACATTGCTCCGACGAATTAGCACTGTCATTGGAGGAGGGTAATCCGTCCATCAAATTACACTGTGTGGCCACATCTTTTGTATTTATTTCTTCAATGTTGAAACGGCTTGGGCTCAACAATGGGTTATCTGAAAAACATAATAGTTATAATGATCATATTTAATTGAATACAATTATCTATTCATTACAAAAAGTTATATCCTGGTAAAACTTAGATAATGATGTGCTTATATAATTTATTTCACTGTTGTTTCAGGCGGAAGATGATTTTAATTCGCGTACATTTGTTTAAACTACTTTTTTCATATATTTTGTATCAATATTTAAAGTTAACGTTATGAAAAATAATACCATCTGTGGTTGTTTGTGCGTTATCACCAGTTGATAACGAATTGTTCTTGTCAGGTTCGGAACACCAGTAGTCTTCACCCACTTGTAATTTTACATATTTGCGCGTCATTTTGTGCAGTTCGTATGCCTGTAATGAAACAATAAATATCGTTATATATATATATATATAATAAAACGACGATCACAGTTAATCAATGTTATGAAAGTTTTCTTACTATACAAAATTAATATATTTTTACAGTGTGCTAACATCACAGACGTTGGATACAAATAGCTATGTGCAAACATATGTACTTTACAATATAAAATGTACTTTTAAATACCTTTTTAAATAAACCAGTTCTTCTTCCAGATAGGGCCTGTCTCCTCTTCCTATCGTTCTCAATGTATTGAACAGACACCTTGCCACTCCTATTGGGCAAATTAAGGGGCTTCCCCTTCTCGTGCCGTGTGGTCTTCTTACATTTGCACGGGTCAACCTTGAACAGCTATAAAGTAAAAATTGTCTCTATTAAAACATTAATAGGAATATAAATGAATATGTAGAATAATTTCATATATCGTTTTATTAGATCTATATGATTTATGAAAATATAATAATGAAAATTTTTGGCGAAATCTAACTCGTAGTCAATAAATCATACGTAAAGTACTTTAAGTACTTTGATTTTCAGATGCTGCAATTGACACAGATCAGTGTAAGGAAACAGAACAGTAACCAGTCTGGACAAGAAACCAACATGGCGGACAGCTTCAAGTTTCCATCTAATGTGAGATGATATTTGGTAATTTAAAGTGCTTGTCAACAATTTAAGCACTCTTTCAGTAAAATATTGTTTTAAATACAGTACATGTTCTGTATTTATGTGTTTCATAATTATCATCTAAGTAAACTTTTCATTTTATGAGAAAACATTACCTGTTTCGGTGTTTCTTCCATGGTTGTCGTTTTGCGGAAATGCGTTTGTTGCATGAAAATGTGAAAAAAACGTGGAAATCGTGCGTTTATCCATATTTTTGTGGACATGTGATGTCTGTAAATTTGTGGATAGTGTGTTTATTTATGGACAGTCCATAAATATCATGAAATCCTAGACCTGTTAAACGGTTACGGCTTTCATGTTGAAAAGAAATTATAATCGTTGAATATAATTAAAGATCATTTATAAATAAAATTTTAGATATAAATGTGATCCTACATTCCAGATTAAAATAATCAGTTACTCATTAAATCTGAGTATTTACAATCGAAATATTAACATTCTGATCAATGTTTCAAACGTCATACGAGTTATCGTGTACACATGTATACTGCATACAAAAGGTTGGAAACTTGATATGACGCACTGTCAATCGTAACTTCTCGGGTCTCTCCGTCATCGTTGTTCAAGCTAGGTTATTGTTTATCAGGGTAGGAAACATAGGACGCATATTTTCGATCGTGTAAAGGTTTTTAAAAATGTTTCTGCTACGTACATCTAAATATGTTTTAGTATTTTCCGAGTATATGGCCTCATAAAATATATTATATAAAAAATAATTTTTCAATATACCGTAAATTTGACGGATTTTTAAATTAGCAGAATATATTAAATTGATAATATGAAAAGATGTTCAAGGTCGGACAATCAATGTGTAAAGCCGTTACGGATTCGAATGTGTACGTCGCAATATGCGGTCCTGTTCCAGAATTGCTATGGGTAGAAAACTTTTACTTGATTTCTTAAATTTCTACTAAAGTACTTCTGAAAATGTTTATCGGTTATTGGCGAGGTGTGGTTTTGATTACACAGCTAACGTGATATCTAAATCAGGTAATTGCGTAATATTTCTATTCAAAACGACATGCATGGGCTCAAACATGTAGTGAAATCACGAGAGATTTATATAGGTCAATGTATCGAATGATCAAAATTGGATTTCCTGCAGCGTGGTAGATGTGTATTGTATATACATGTATATCTAATTATATAATGAAGAACATTGTACTATTACGTTTTATACATAGTTGAAATAAGCCCCTGTAAATATATACAATATACTTAACTGTAACTGTTTAATATTTTTTCAAGTTTCTTGTGTTATTCTCTTATCCAGTGACAAAAAAAGAAGAACGAAAATATATACTGAAAAGGCTACCAAAGGACAAAATAAAATGACTTCAGGTTCATATAAAATAATTATGTTTCAATTTGCATGTACCATGAAAGCTTTATCAGTACTATAGCCATGCAAAGATATGGCGTTGGACTATTTAGGGCCAATCATACTTGTTACTTGTCTGAACAACGTTTTTGGTGTAAGTATACCATGTGGTGAAACATATCTTGCTAAAAATGGTCACCGGTGTTACCCATGCAGTGCGGGATATTATAAAGTTTCGGATTGTGTGATAGATGGGGAACAGTCAAGATGTAAACCTTGTGGGTACAGGGAATATATGTCCACGTGTGATAATTCAACACAGTGTAATCAATGTGATCTGTTCTGTCATGGAGGACAGATTAAAATAAAAGCATGCACAACAACCAGCAACCTAAAATGCCAGTGCAAAGATGGTTATTATTGGAAAAGGGGCCCACATCGAATTTGTACAAGACACAGCAAATGCATCCCCGGAGAAGGATTAAAGACAAAAGGTTTAATAGTTCTTTGAAGAATTTATTTGACATTTAATATTATTTGTAGTAGATGACTTACAATAGGTGGATTCATTTAGGTATTACTTGATATAACAACCAGGTTATGGAAATAATTTCTTTTGGATTATGTGTGATTATTAAAAAAACAAAGACTGTTACTTAAGTAAAACTTTGCAGCCATGGTAGACTTGGGAGTATGTTGAGTTATAGTATAGAAACTTTCTTATAACAGGCCCATTGAGCCTCATAAATGCATTATATGGTTTAATTGTACAGCAAACCCGTATTCTGTAATGTTTCTGAAACTGACAGAACATGAAAAAATAAAACAAGATTTTAACAAACGAAAATATTTTAAAATTTTGAGCTAAATGGGCCTGTAAGGTTTTCATTTTGAAGAAGTGAAGATATATGAATACACTTTATATACAATGTACGTGTATTTGTGTACCTGCTAGTAATTACCTTTATAAATAAATGCCTTTTTATTTTGAAAGGAACACCATATGAAGACACAATGTGCGAGCAATGCAAAAACGGCACATCATATTCCAATTTGACTTCATATAACGAATGCAGGCCATGCTCTGTCTGCAACATAACGCAAAGAAGCTGTAACAATATCCATGATACTGTTTGTGGCAGCAAAGCGGGAGGGACGACGAACACTCCCGAAGGTTGTTTTATCTTAATCTTTAAATTTGTCTGGTGTTTTCTATGAACAAAACTGTTTTTTTTTTGTTAGATTCATATAGTCTGTGTTTATTTCAGATATTTTAGATCATATCTTTTAATTACTTCGGTATATTGTTGTTTTGTTTTCTTTCATTTCATTATTTGTTGATTTATACTACTGTCTCTTATTATTTACATGTACGGCATGGTATGAGTCATCGTCGAATACCCTCGATCATGTTACATGTGAATCAACCGTGGGTATTCGACGATAGGCATGCGTAGACTAGTATAAGAAATGCATGAATGCTATTACATTGTATATACAATAGGAATACGGTAAGTGCGCTGTGGTAAAATAATACACTGTCACACACTTGTTTGTTTATATAGTTATGCTTGTTTTGCATATATGGGCATTTTGTTTAATGTAATGCATGGGATCATCATAACTTTATAAATGTTAATCATTTAATAATCTTTTCCTTGATTTTTCTGTACATTTGATTTGCATACTTTATTTTATCAGATATTTTATTTGCATAATGAATCTTACATGGTATTTTTTTACATGGTCTTTATAGATGATAGTGATAATTACTGGGTGACGGCAGTAGTAGTTGTTGGTGTTATCTTCTTCTTCGTCGTCGTCGTCGTTGTTTTCTTCTGTATCAAACACAGGTAAAGTAAAATCTAAGTAATACAGTAATTGCCCTGCTAAATTTGTGAAATGGTTTTTGCCTAGCTTTGCATTTGGAACAGGTCATTTGAAGTGATTTGGATTTCAAGATCAAAATGTACTCATTGTGATCAGACTGCATGGACATGCAGGGTTGACTGGCTGTTTTCTGGTGGGAGACTTATCATGTTGGTTCAAGTAGGGTAATTGTTAGGACTTTCAGATATGCATATATATATATATATATATATATATATATATATATATATATATATATATATATATATATATATATATATATATATATATATATATATATATATATATATATAATGCTTTTTAATATTTTTTTTTTAAACTATATTTGAATTTAAAAAAATAATGATAATAATTACATGTACTAAAAGATAAAACACATGAAATATACAGATCCTTCAGGACAAAGTAAATTTTTTTAGACTTTGTTGACGTCTATGTTTATCTTTTTTAACATGTTTTATCGCAGTTATTTTTTATCACGAATTACATAATATCCTCACCTCTCCTATATCTAGTTTGTACACTTCGTGCGCCCAGTTTATGGATGTTCCCATTTATTTTAAGCGTAAAGGGGTCGTGGAACAACTGCCAATCAGTCTCACAAAGATAGCCTATAGATAAATAAAGTTTACATAAATATAAAAAAAAATGAAATCATTTAAAAAAATGTTTACATTTTTAAAAAAGGCAGTTATTTATATATTAGAGTAATGACTTCTTAGAAACCTTGATATTGTTGGGAATAAGTATAAACACTATTAACGTCATTAAATTGTAAGGAGTTAACTAGAATTTAAAAGAAAATATAAAGATATCGATCAATATGTTAAAAAAGTTTTTTCGCTGAGATATCATTTACTTTGCTCAGAGCAAAATGTGACAAAGTTGAAAAGCGAAGTTACTGGCGTAGCAAAAATCTAGTTCTTTAATGTGCACGTGTCGGACACAATATACAAAGGATGACATACTATACTTTAGATGCTGTATTGGTGATGTTTGAGGCTTACACAACACTCTGACATTTTGAGTTTTGCTTCAAAATGCAGCATTAACCTTTTTGGTCACTTCAACGTAATATTTTGTAGGCAGTTGTTCACTTGGTTATTGATTGGATTGTTATATTAATTTTTGGCATGAAAATGTATTTGTTTTTAGCTCGACTTTTTTTTTTTTGAAAAAAAAAAAGTAGAGGTATTGTTATAGTCAGGTCGGCGTTGCCGTTGCCGTTGCGGTTGCCGTTCCCGTTCGCAAACTTGTACCTGGATCATAACTTTTTTATTTCTTGGTGTATTGTCTTCATACTTGGCCACAACAACCCTTGTGACAAGACCTTTCAGTAGACCACACTAACCTTGACCTTCATCCATAAATAACCTTGACCTTCAAGGTTAAAAGTCCAATTTTTGCTTGTTCATGCTGTTATTGGCTGTAACTTTGTTATTTTTGAATGGATTGTCTTCAAACTTGAACATAATAATCTTCAAGGAAATCCCTTAAAAATAACCCGCCAGACCTTGACCTTCACTCATAAATGACCTTGACTTTGAAGGTCAAATTATTGAAATTTTCATTTTTTTTGCTATTATTGGCTGTAACTTTGTTATATATGAATGGATTGTCTTCAAACTTGAACATAATTATCTTCAGGGATATCCCTTAAAAATAACTAGACAGACCTTGACCTTCACTGATAAATGACCTTGACTTTGAAGGTCAAACTATTGAAATTTTCATTTTTTGGCTATTATTGGCTGTAACTTTGTTATTTTTGAATGGATTGTCTTGAAACTTAAACATAATAATCTTCAAAGATAACTGTTAAAAATATACCGAAAGACCTTGACCTTCACTCATTAATGACATTGTCTTTGAAGGTCAAATTATTGAAATTTTCATTGTTTTGGCGGTAACTGACTGTAACTTTGCTATTATTGAAGGGATCAACTTCATATTATTACAGAACATTCTTAAGGACCAGACCTCGTTGTTTATCAAACCCAAATTTGCTTGGGCTCTTTAATGATCTTGACCTTGAAGGTTAAATTACTGAATTTTCTCAGATTTGTACATTAAATGACCATAATTATATATTTATTGGTGTGTGTGTGTGTGTGTGTGTGTGTGTGTGTGTATATATTTACAACAACAACAACAAGAATTGCGTCATTGTTTCTATTTATACAATTTATAGAATTTCGTCATTGTTTCTATTTTTAGAAATTGCGTCATTGTTGCTATTTTTAGAAATTGCGTCATTGTTTCTATTTTTAGAAATTGCGTCATTGTTGCTATTTATAGAAATTGCGTCATTGTTTTTTTTATATTTATAGAAATTGCGTCATTGTTGCTATTTATAGAAATTGCGTCATTGTTTCTATTTTTAGAAATTGCGTCATTGTTGATATTTATAGAAATTGCGTCATTGTTTCTATTTTTAGAAATTGCGTCATTGGTGCTATTTTTAGAAATTGCGTCATTGTTTCTATTTTTAGAAATTGCCTCATTGTTGCTATTTTTAGAAATTGCGTCATTGTTTCTATTTTTAGAAATTGCGTCATTGTTGCTATTTATAGAAATTGTGTCATTGTTGCTATTTTTAGAAATCGCGTCATTGTTTCTGTTTTTAGGAATTGCGTCATTGTTGTTATTTATAGAAATCGCGTCATGGTTTCTATTTTTAGAAATTGCGTCATTGTTGCTATTTATAGAAATTGCGTCATTGTTGCTATTTTTAGAAATTGCGTCATTGTTGCTATTTATAGAAATTGCGTCATTGTTTCTATTTATAGAAATTGCGTCATTGTTTCTATTTTAGAAATTGCGTCATTGTTTCTATTTTAGAAATTGCGTCATGTTGCTATTTTTAGAAATTGCGTAATGTTGCTATTTTTAGAAATTGCGTAATGTTTCTATTCATATATATATACAAAATATATAAACAAAACTAAAGTGACAAGACAGACCAACTAAATTTATAAAAAAGGAAACGTTAAGATATGTTCAAACCTTTCTATGTTTGCGTTTAGAAAAAGTAAAAAGTCGAGCGTTGCCCCCGCCCGGCGGTGGCTCTTGTTGCCTATAAAACAATGAAAATTATTAATTGTGTCGACCGAAATGTATTCATCTTGCACATGACAGTTCTAAATAATGTTAAATAATTGTATTAAAAAGTGTAATTTATGTCTATATAATACTTTACCATTTTATTTTTACCCACTAGCCGAAATCAGAACCATGATACTGGCAATGGCAGAGCTCAGAAGTCAAGCACCTTTAGTAATGGACGTGTAAACATACCTCCAGATAGCCAATCCACCAAAAACTCGGACAAACGTAGTCCAGATGTGACAGATCGTCAACAAAACGGTTTCAACCATCCAATAGATGTCAGAAATGACACAAATAATAAGCCTATGTCCAGTAATGAACTACAAGATGAAGGCGTATCTAAAAACTCTAAAGAACTGGAAGGAAAACAATCTCTGAAAAATCATGACAAGGACGACGAATGCTGTATTGATATGACAGGCAACAATATGTCATATAGTTCTGGCAAAGCTAATGGAACTCTATCCCACACGAGCAGAGATGCTGGTGGTGTTCCTTCGAGACATGTTCAACCAGTGACGTCATCATTGCAAAGTTATAGAGATAAGACAGTAAATATATATATTTTTCTATATAAACATTCCTGACTTTCAGTATTGACACACGTTAAAACAAACGTTCAGATCTTTATCAGGCACAAATTACAGATAATACTCTGGTCATATTCTAAGAACCTTTAAATTAAATAAAAACACGAACCTGTTCTTTCTCTGCCTTTGTAAATAATTTGTTAATGACTTATCATATAGTTCATTAGACACCAAATTATGAGCAAACATTAAGAAATTGTTTCATTTTCACATCGTATTTGTTTATCTACGTTGTCCTGAATTTCAGACAGAAACAAATAGAACTGATCATATCAATACGGCGGAAACTGGGTGTACCAATTCATTGGGAGCTGTAACTTCAATTCAGTCAGACGGTAATGGACAATCTTATCATGGGAACGGGACACTTTCATCTGATAAACGTAGGTTATTTATATCATTTGCAAAACACTTACTCGAGTCAAACCAATTGATACCATTTATTGTAGCTTGGCCTGAATTTATTTGAAGGTCAACTTCTCTTGGGGTCTAAGGCATGTCTCTCCAATATGTTTTCAGTGAGATTTGGCGTATATATAATATATCGATTATTGTCAGGGGTTTATTAGATATTTCAGGTAATTAAATGAACAATGTTCATACTTTCATTTTCTTGGACAAAAATGAATGCCGCGGCATACGTGTACAAGACCTTTAGGAAGCCACGACACTGTTTATATACTGTACATGTAATTAACAAACGCCACGAAGTGCAGAGAAACATTTTATTGTAATTGTGGAAATTTAACAATTTAATAGTCTAATAGAAAACTTATTCCAAATACATTCTTTGTTTTTTGTTTACCCTTCAGGTTGTTTTGAAGTGTTTACCTTCATGTCTAAACAATTCACATGGAACAAGTTTTTGAAGTTCTACAGGCGGCTTATAGGTAACTATAGGAGTAGCTAAATATAACCATGTCTTATAAAATGCTTCTGCAGACTTGTTTCAGATTCAAAATTAAACTGATACCAATACAAAGGCAACTCCGTCATAAAGCTTAAATAAATAAAAAGGACACATATGTCTATAAAATGGGTTTTGAATTATTCGCAATACATTAAATATGTAATGTTTTTATTTTTTAGCGGACACAGATAGCAAGACGTTATCTAATGTTGAAGCTGATATTGAGAACACTCGCCAAGAATGGCACCATGATTTCAAAGAGGCAATGTACAGACTAATGAATAACTGGAAACAGAGGAACCCTAATGGCATAATGCAAAGTATTGTTGAGGCATTAGACAAATGTGGAGAGAAGCTCATGAGCGAAAAACTAATGTCATTTATAAACAATCTTACAAAAATTGATGAGGTTAATAATGCTTTAAAGAGTGATATTGTGCCATACATGGGTGAAAGATATGCTCGTGGTGAGCTTTCTACATCTGTACAGACTGTAGACAATGAAGGAATTGTGTAAGGATGTGTTCAGGAAACAAATCAGTCCTGAAACGAAGAGTAAAAGCCACATAAAAACTTATAGACTTTGCAGTTCTACATTTTCAGTATAATGTATTCAGTGTACACTGTATTTAATTTTCGTTACATCTGCTAAACTCCAACTGTATCAAAATGTAGTTCTTTCAATTACTCCACATAATTATACAAATCATATGCATAATATATTCGGTTTTGATCTCCATATATAGATACTGTGTGATTAGGTATGATAGATATTGTATATTTCTTTTGTGTCAGTTTCCATGCTTAAAGAAGTATTAAGAGCCGCGCCATAACAAAACCAACATAATGCGTCTGCGACCAGCATGGATCCAGACCAGCCTGCGCATCCACGCAGTCTGATCAGGATCCTTGCAGTTCGCTATAAGTGTCTCTACTTGTTATAGTGTGTGTAAGCGAACAACATGTATCCTGATCAGAATGCATGGATGCGCAGGCTGGTCTGGATCCATGCTGGTCGCAAACGCATTATGTTGGTTTTGTCATGGCGCGGCTCTTATCATTATTATAAGTAGTAGTATTAGTAGTATGTTGTGCTAAAGAGAAATTTAAAATTGTCACATATATTTTTAATCATCAGCAACTTTGCTGTTGAATTTTACCGTAAAAGCATTATATATTTCGTGTTCTTTCAACATGCTCAAGCTTTGCTTGCCACCATGTGTAAACTATGTGTAAACCTGTAAATTTAAAATATTGCTGCTGAACTTCATATCAAGTTTTTATCCTTTGATTATTGAGTTCTCTTTATCTGGTGCTAGTTGGCTTGAGAGATATTTCATTTTTCTTTGTATCTCTAGAACAGTAAGTTAGTTAATTATATTAATCTAAATACATGTAATTGCTCCTTATTTGAGGGGGGCCTTCCTCAGAATGTTTAATATAAGAATAAGGGCTTAGTGAGGCGACCTTTAATGTTCTATTTTGTTAATTTTATAGATTTTCATCGTAATTTGTAAACGTAATTAGGTTAACTTGAATATATAAATATTTTATATCTAAATGTCATTATTTTCTACAACATATGGGCATTCAATGTTGATATTCGTTATTTTATATGGAATTTACCAAAGTAAAAAATAAATAAATTATTGATATATGTTCACTAGAGTGGTTTCTTATCTTTCTCCCAAAACTTAGTGACCCTTTTAATTGTTATAACTAGTGCCATAATAATTCACTGCTCAAGCAACTAAAATAGCAGTAAAATATTCTGTTTAAGTGTTTAAAAAGAAGCTGTAAATCATTTCCCTGTTCTTTAGAAAAAAACATTATTTGCATTTTGAATGCATACTTTCAAAAAAGCTTTAAGAGTGAAATTTATTTTTTTATAATTACGAAATCATTGCATTTTGTAATTTTT